TTCTGAACATCAGAATGTTACATTTTATTCAGTATTTTATCATATTTGCGTTTGTAACATTCAAATTGGACATTTGATTCAGCATCTTAGATAGATGAGCATCAGAATAATGTTTGGAATGTTTGATTCAGTAATTTGTTGAATTATTAATTCCATTTGGAATGTTAAATTGGAACATCCAATTTATTTTGATTTGAACATTATAACAGAGTTTGAAATGTTCGATTAAAAAAATTCAGCTTTGCTGAACATAATCACATTTACAATGTTCAGTTCAGTATTTTGGAGCCTGATAGAACATTTGGGAGTCGGGACATAATCGCATCTGAAATGTTTGATTCGAAAATTCAATTCAGCTTAGCAGACCCTCAGAATTAAATTTTGAATGTTCAGTTCAGTACATTCTTACATCATAATTCCATTTGGAACATCCGATTCACTCGTTTTGAACAACATGCTATACTTTCAGAAAATTCGATTCTGTATTTTAAAGCATGATAGAGCATTCAAAAGGAACATGCGATTCAGTACTTTAGGCCACTGTTGAACACGAACACTCAGTTTTAATTTTATGATCGTTTGGAATATTCTATTTAGTATTTTGAGCATCATAATCTTGTTCGTGACATTTGATTCGAACTTTGGATTCAGAGGCTTAGCAGAGCATAAGAATCAAGTTTGAAACATATGATTCAACATTTGTTGCACATATTCCATTTGTAATGTTGAATTGGTACATCCAATTCAGATTTAATTGAACACCATAACAGCATTTTTTTTTTTATTCGAACATTTAATTCAGCTTTGTTGAACACGATTTATAATCATGTTTAGAATGCTTTATTTAGTAATTTAGTGCATGATAGAACATTACATCCACGCATTTGATTCAGTAGTTTAGGGGATCGTTGAACTCGAATGTTTTTTTTTTTGAACATCATAACTTTTAGAATATTCTATTTAGTATTTTTGGCTTCATACCCACGTTTAGAACATTTGATTCAAACATTTGATTCATAATCAGGTTTGTAGCGTTTATTCTTGTAGAGAATATCCTTATTATTCCATAAATAATATCTGTTTGGAGAAAAGTTGTGTTTGTATATTAGGGACCAGGCCAAGAGCATCTGCTTATTGAAATTAGACAGTTTGTTAGGGATCTTTGAGACATTATAATTACAGAGTAAAAGAAAATTCAGGTCACCAACTTTAGAAAAGATATAATTAGGAATAATATTCCAAAGTGAAGAGGCATTTTCAAAAAAAACAAAAACAAATTATTGATAATTGGTTCGAAAACAACCTTCTTTTAGTTGGTCAGCTTTTTAACTCACAAGGCAGACTTTATAACTACTTTATATTTTACAGAAATATAATATTCCTGTATCTGCTGATGAATATGTGATTGTTTTCAATGCCATTGCCTCTGGTGTGTCTTTTCTGATGCAAGGTGCTACCTTTTCATGGCCATGTACTTATACACTGACTTTAACTGACACAATGATCGGCAGTGTATGCTTTCTGTAGACCAACAAAAAAAACCCTGTAAAACTGTAAAATCAGAGCTCTCTTCCAGAGAAAGATATCAACAATTCCTTACGTTATACCTTATTGGAATAATATTGTGGAGAATGCTCCATGGGAGAAAGTATATGGTCCTTGCCTCATAAGTATCTGCTGACCAAATTAAATAAAGGAAATAACGTTTAAATTAATTCACAAATGTTATCCGACTAAAGCCTTTCTTAAGAGATATAAGTCTGACATTGAAGTGAATTGCAGTTTTGTCAATCTTCTGAGGAAGATTTATTCATTTGTTTTGGCAATTACACAGAGAGATGTTTTGGTGTTTATTCTATCTTATTTTATAAGTGACTTCTTTTGTTTTAAAGATGTTTTCTTTGGGCTGTTTGACTATTCAAAAGAAAATATGGGAAAAATGTTGTATTATTAATTTATGTTTCCTGTTAGCTAAGTTTCATATTCATAAACAAAAGTTTACTGGCTCTAAACCTTTCTTTTCTTTATTCAGAATTGACCTTCACAATATTTGGAAACTATCCAAAGTTCTATTAATCCAAAAGCAATGAAAACTGTGTCTTTTTAATATGTAATTTTATTATGCTTTTGTTGTTTTTTGTTACCCTGGCAATATGTCTGTTTCTGTGTATATTCTTGCATTTTTATTTGACATTTTTTCTTTGTTTACAATTGTAATTGTTATTTTTCTTTAATAATAATAAAACACGTTTGTAGCGTTTGAATCGAACATTCGATTCAGCTTAGATAAGATGAGCATCATAATCAAGTTCAGAACGCTTGATTCAGCATTTTGTGGCATGACAGGCGAGTCCTGATAACATTTTAATTCAGAACGTTCTGAAAGCGTGTAAGAAGCCCATAAATGCTGTCTCAGTAGACGGCTGAATAAGGTTTGAGACACAGCCAATCCTGCATTACTGTAAAAAAGCTAATAATATAAGAGCAAGTGACTGTACATACATACCCATCGGCCGCAGCCCAATTCCTGATAGCAGCACAAATGACCTCTACTGTAGTCCTCTTTTAAACCATCCAGTGAGGAATGTGTCTATCTCAGTTTGCTCTCATATAAAGGAAATATATCTGTACAGGTTCATCCTCAGTCTTTTCCATCTCATTCAAAATCCTCTTGTGGATTGACAGCCGAAGCGCTGCTGTAGTTCAGTGTTGTACTCCGCTCTTCTTTCACCATGACGCCTATTCACACTGTCCTCCACCATATTAACGGGATAAATATTAATAGTACGCAAATACCGTGAGTTCATAGACATGCCCGCTAAAACATCAAAGCTTTCCTGTCTCAGACCGGTAGATGACCGTATCCTGACCGTGATCCGAAGCCATCTTGAAATTCCAGTGACGTCATTCGATGCTTTACTAACAGGTGAGTCCACGCGCCCCCTGCTGGATATATTCAACAACACACAATCAGAAGATGCAGGCTACACAGAGAAATATTGCACTGTACATACACAGTAGACACGCGCGGATAATATGATTGCACAGCTACACAATAATGTGTTAAATTGTGCTTCACAACTTAATTTCACACAACTGTTAACGGCAGCCTGAAACTAGTAATTTTTCAGTCACCAAAAATACTAAATAAATAAATACATAAACAAACAAACATTCAAGGAAGACGTTTTACTCTAGAGACATTTCTCAGAGACTGAAAAACACATTTTCTATAACATACATTGTTCTTGCAAAAAGCTATTATACACACAAAAGAACTCATGAAAAAGTAAAAAATTGTAAACGCTAAAATACATAAATTAACTATTATAACTATTGTGAGCTATACATAATGTGACAATTTGCTTAAGAAGACACCTATAAAATCTACCTTCACTGACTGTACCTCAATGTGATTTCATTGTGTTTATTTGTTCACACAACTACAAAAATATAATGATAGACAGATAGAGAGAGAGAAAGAGAGGGGGGCAGACATACATATAGACAGACAGACAGACAGACGCGTGGATGGATGGATGATTTTCTATAACATACATTGTTCTTGCAAAAAGCTATTATACACACAAAAGAACTCATGAAAAAGTAAAAAATTGTAAACGCTAAAATACATAAATTAACTATTATAACTATTGTGAGCTATACATAATGTGACAATTTGCTTAAGAAGACACCTATAAAATCTACCTTCACTGACTGTACCTCAATGTGATTTCATTGTGTTTATTTGTTCACACAACTACAAAAATATAATGATAGACAGATAGAGAGAGAGAAAGAGAGGGGGGCAGACATACATATAGACAGACAGACAGACAGACAGATAGATAGATAGATGGACGGATGAACAGACTGGTAGACAGACAGACAGACAGACAGACAGATAGATAGATAGATGGACGGACGAACAGACTGGTAGACAGACAGACAGACAGACAGATAGATAGATAGATGGACGGACGAACAGACTGGTAGACAGACAGACAGACAGACAGATAGATAGATAGATAGATAGATAGATAGATAGATAGATAGATTTCAATATGTGTATCAGAAATCATGTTGATATATTGAGGTGGAGCTGCTTTCATTTCTTTTCTGTTTTCTGTAACTCAGTGAGCGCACTCACACTCAAGTCAAACCCTAGTGAACCGATCTCTCTCTCTCTCTCTCTCTGTGGCGCTGCACTCAGCAGCAAACTCCGTGTTAACAGCGGAGAGAGTGCTACCCCATTCCCTCTATTCAGCAGGAGCGCGAAGTCACTTTGTAAGAAGAGACCTTTCGGAAAAGAGCTTCCCTGGAAAACAGAGGAACTGGTGACGTGAGGAGCCACTTGAATATGATCTATCTGCACTGGGTCCAGAGGAAGCCCGAGAGATGGAGATTTCCCTGGACATGATGCCCCTCACCTCCGCAACACTGAGCGACTGCTGTGGGATTCCAGGTCAAACTGAGAAGTGTTGACCTCGTTTCATTCCATACGAACCTATTAATAGCATCAGAATTAATATGCATGCATGACCTCATTTTATTTTCGTATACCATTCCAAAAATACTTAGGCCCAAATGTAAAATTGATGTATTTGAATGGCATATAAAAGAGATATAAAAGCTTAATTTAGTTCAAATGAGACAAATGAGAAATTAATTATTTTATAGTCTCTCTCTCTCTCTCTCTCTCTCTCTATATATAT